ATTTTCTTATATAATTCTTGTTGTCACAATATTAGCATAAATGTTACTAGGAAAAATGGGTTTTGTGATTCATTAATGTATGTAGCTAGGTCGGAGATGAATTCTGGTATGTGTATATGTATCACCAAATACAATGGGTAAAATTTGACCGATTGTGAACAAAGAAAAAATTAATTATGCGAATTCGGAAACAATGATGCAAATACGAGGCAGTAAACACAACCATAAACCGTAATTAATATCTTAAAGTGGCCATAAACTTATTTATTGCTTCATTATAGAGAGTACGTTTATTATAAAGGATATAAATCTTCCACTATATAATAGAATAGAAAAAAAGGGCTTGGAAGAAAAACCTTGGCGAGCACTCAGTTTGGTAATAGGCACCTAGTCAATTAATTCGGAAGTTGGAAACGAAAATCGTTTATTAGATTAAAGTGGTATGCAGACGACGGACATTAAGACAAGGGTCCGATTACTCAAGAGAGAAAATCCGTTTGATGTTGGGCGCGTCAATTTGAAGGTGGCGTCTTTGTCGATACAAAATTCCGTTTCGACTTTTCACAGATGAATAGGTAAATGGCTAACTACTACACTTAAATGTGCACCAGTTCCGCCTTTCCATACCAACTTAGATTAGGTACGCGTTTCAACTCAGGCTCGGCTTCGACTCATCTTTGTTTTAAGTTCTGAATTTGATGTGTAAGTGGAAAGCAGTTAAGTTAGGGCAGATAAATTTGTATTACTAGTCAAGATAATCTAGTAACATCCCTGAAAGCAAACTAATTACATGGAGATGAATGGGATCTTCCTGTTTTCTCTTAACACAGCTGTATTTTCTTTAGATTTTTCTCTTTCTGTGATTGAGTGCAAGTATTTACTGAACGTATTATACTTGCAACAATTTCAGGTCAGGTAGTCTGCTTTTCATAAGAGGATCATAAATTCAATGATTCTAGAACTACTCCTCAAAGTTAATTAAACTAATTCTATTGGAAACCAACTACCCTATTACTTACAATTTGTTCAAACACTCACTGCCCGGATGTAGATTGTGTTTATGGGTATTTCGTTGCTGTATCCTTTAATTAATTCTTTTAAGTTTCATTTTCAAATAATTCATTTTGAAATCCTTCAATTTGCGCCTATCTTGAGATACCTTAATCTAAGCGTTACTCCTTGCGCTTTCTCTTTGCTTATAAATTCCTTAATTGAATTCTGTCAACCTTTTCGATCAGTCCCGTGCCACAATTTCCACGGTTTTTTTTCTTTTGCACTTGCACTATCGACAATATAGAATGGACTGACACAGAAATTTAGCGACAAACTGGTGCCCCAAAGTTTTCATAATTACTGCAGTCTCGAAAGTTGGAAATTCAGAAATTCTCGTACAAAGTACAGGCGTTGAATGGTGGCATTTCGTCTGCATTGTTGTTGTGTTCGATATTTAAGCTATTGTAACTGTTTCGGAAATGTCCGTCGGATTTTGAAGTTGGTCACACATTTTTCAAAAGTAAAATTTGTAACTCTGCATACGCTTCGATATAAACAAAGTTCTGGAATGTGACAGCTCTTATGAAATTGTACTATACTGTTTAGTTGAATACTTTGCAGTTTTAAATCCAACTTCTTCCATTATTCTCATTCCAAAACTAGTGAACGCTTAAACATAGAAAAATTAAAACGTACTTAAAGTGTTTGTTTTACATTATATTGATTTATAATGGAATGCTTTATGTTATGATATCTAGTAGACTGTAACTCATGAAAAATAAAGCAGTAACATCTTTTACAACGTCTTTTATTACATCCAGGTAAGGACGCTGTTTTTACTAGGGAATGAACATAGCCCTACATCACTTAATACCCTTTTACACCATACTACTGTACTCCACTCACAAGTATAAACACATAATTACATATAAAATAAACATTCTCATAATTTATTGTAATGTGTTGACTGTTGAGCTGCCGATCTAATTCCCTACTCATTAACTGAAATTTCCGTATTTATTTATTTATTTTTTTTAAATTAAGGCTTCGCTTCAAAGGCCATTAGCCTGTTTTCTGACTATACATTTTAGTACATCTAATAGCTTTAAACTTTCTATTAAAACTGGACCAAGAAAGTATTGTGCTTTAGCATGTCTTTGTAGGACCTTGTCTGCATACTCAGATCTCAGATACCTTGAAAAGAAACATCGTAAATGGTTCAACCAACAGTTAAATTTGTCACAATCTAAGTACTAGGTACATTTTAAAAGCTATAGTCTAAAACGATTCTTTAATCATGTGAAGAGTATAACCTTGCTTTCAAAACCAAATGCATTGTAAGAATGCATTCAGTAGAATATTCAGTGGGTGCGATTTCAAGGAACAGCCCCATTTCGTACGGGGGGGGGGGCAAGCGAATCAAATTAGCTTTTCAAGAAATATGGTTCAGTTAATTTCTAGACGTCATTTTCAAAAGGACAATGATTAATTGAAAAAAGAACAGGTAGGGATTAATCTGAAGAGATTTTTGAAGACATTATGTTTCGAGCCACGGGAGTGCGATTCCAAATATAGTTTAAAGGAAGATACGATCTTTAACCACACAAAAAATATCCACGAACAAAATTTCGTACAGAAGGTGACGATTCCCCAGGACTGAAGGTCGCCGTAGTTAAAAGATCCAATCTGCAAGTTCCATTGTTAATTGCCGAAGTACTGTCGCTACGAGGGGGGTCGTCCCAACGCTATTTTGTATAAACACCATCAGTAGAAGGGCATTTATATCTATGGAGTAGGCGGATTTTTATTTTTGTAAGATTAAGAGTTGCATATCTTTAAGAAAAGTTTTCGTAAACTACATTTGGTTGATGTTAGTAATTGTCAATGTAAGTTTTTTTAAAGATGTCAATCTATTGGTAAATTGAAGCCGTTTTTATTACATGAATTTTATCCGTTGTATAAGCTATATGGTTTGAAACATTCTGTATTAATGTGGACGCTTTTCATTGTAATTGTTTTCAAAGTTATGGTGATTGGTGCATACCTGCCCACCACCTTGAAACAAATGGAGAGCTGCAAGAATGAACCACGATTGGCGCAGGAAGCTCAGTCTGGTTATCAATTAAAACATTTGAAATTTTATGTGTTTCACTCTTTGTTCCAGTAAAATTAGTGTCATTCTCTGAAAAGAGCTATAGGGGCCGCCCTCTTCCAGATATGAAGCGTCTAAGGCATGCAATGAATGCTTCAGAGGTCAGACTTGTAGCAATTTCAAGGTGAATATACGAATTTTCTTTCTAAACTGGACCCTAAACTGGTCTCTTCGAAAAAAAATGTACTTTCGTTTCACTACTTCGACGTGTGGCCAAGAAGCTAGATCACTACCTAATTTCCCTTAGACTGATCACTTCTACTATTTTCCCTCTAGTCAAACATCTACAAAGATGGCAGATTGCGACTTAATATGGCGACCTCTAAAATTTAATTGCCTACCAATCAATCCCAAACGGTTGTTAGGGCCGTGACGTAATTCAAGAAATAAGGCTGAGGTGACACAATGCGGATTTACAAATTTAAACCCAGAAGCCTCATTACCCAGAGGAAATCTGAGACCCAACAGAGACTATGGTGACCCGTCGCTTGTTGAAAATCGAAAACCAACTGCCTAAAATGACTTAAAATGATTATTTTACGTTGCGTCACCAACAATATTTGTTTGGAAAATAATTTCAACTATGAACTTTCTACAACCAGAAAAAACTGCCAGTGTTTCTTGACGATTAAAAAGTATTTAAGGTTATCAAGAACACTTAGGATGTAACAGATTGGCAAAAGGATTTTATTAACTATTTTTTAATAATCAAAGTGCAAAGAAAGCTTAATGGGGTAATACGCTAATACTGAGTAAACTACACAGCTTTCGCCATAATTCTTGTACTTAAGAATGAATTATTGTAGTTGTTTTAGTTTGTAGGGGGTACTTGAAAGTTATTGTGACATGTTTCGATGCACCCCGCGATGACGTAAGTGGAAACATGTCGCACTAACTTTTAAACAAACTAAAATTCACATCAAGGAATGTGCGAAGGCTGTATTTAGTACTTAACGATGACCAAGATGACCCAATGGGCGTCTAAAACTCAGCTTGACGTTAATTCAAACTTGATTATTATTGATAATTATCATTTCTGGACGATAGAACCATTAAAGATTCACTAATTTGATTTCAATTAAGTTCTACTTTAGTTTTATGATTGAGTTAAAACTGTAAGGCCTGCAAGTTTTATTTAGCTTCCTAACTTTTAAGTTTATTATATTATGATTTACGTAACATTATTGCAAAAGGCTGTAGTTAATTTTGTTGCCGCTTCCAACTTTCTAAGTTTTGTTACAATTTACAACTATTTTTAGTTTTAATGAGTTGCAAGATTGCACTTTTTCACATCAATGTTTAAAGACACTTAGTCCTTATTACTTCTCAATACGGTACAAAATTTTCACTTCAGATTAACAGGCACGTTTCAGATCGCCGCTTAATCCACTAAATAGTAAAATAGGGAAGTACCCCTAGAGAGTTAAAATAAATAAGCAAAGAGGAGCAATCGGCTTGTAAGATAAACTTCGATTGAATCATGAGAGGGTGTAACTGCACTCAATACGCACTCAAGGGGTGACCTAGATTTCTCCTCGAATTGTCTAAAGCCATTGGAAATCTCGCCTTTTACTCCCTTAAATAAAATACTTCAAAAACGAATTAGTTCGAATTAGAACCGATAGGAAATTTTAGGCAAAGTCTGTGGAAATTAATCTCCTTCCGCAATAAAGGGATTCCTTAAACTGATAAAACTAGTTAAAATAACCGCTCCATAGAAGGAACTAAAGGGAAAATTTCGAATTTCATCAATTTCCTTGTCTCTTCCCAAAGCGTAACTATTCAATCTTTAAAATTGCGTAATTAATCACGGGTTCCTTATTCCCTTCAATTTCAGATCTAACCACTTACTTACCTGAGGGTAATCTCCGGATTTTGTTTGATAATCAAACACGTAGAGATAGGAGTTACGATGCTCCGCAGAGTGCAGGTCGGCAGTGTGGACCACGGGTGCGACGTACTGGGCGTCGGATAGGGCTTCCAACGTTTCGTCCCTGATGTTAATCGGATGCTGGACGGGCCGTTCCCAATCCGTATACTCATTAACGATCGTCGCCAGAATTTCCGACAAATGATAACTGTAAGTATTACGAACAAACGTCCTTAAAATTTTCGAGCGGCGATCCGCCTCGATTCCGTACTGAACATCTTCGGCGTTAAACGCAAAGTAGGCTTCGGCTTTAACTACACCGAGTAAAAGATCGTAGCGGGAAAGTTTCGATACCGCCGAATCCCTCAAAAGCACGTTATTTAATATATTTATGGCGTTCTGCGGCTCCGTCTTCTGTGGCTTGCTATCGAATTCGTTAAAATGCTGATTATCTATAACAGAGAAAAACAAGCATGAGTTACTACTGGCTAGGAAAAGTTGCTGATACGCGGACTTGCAAGCTTATGCCCGTTTTTATTTCTACCGCTGCACTTTAGATAAACAACCAGATCGTCTCTAGGCTTAGCCAAAGCAGCAAACTTCCGCGATAAAGTGAATGTCTTTCTTTCCTTTATTTTAAAACATATTCTGAACATTTGAACAATGTTCGATAAAAATTTGAGTAAATGACTAATCGGTCTAAGTTTAACTGCCGTCTTTTCGAAAACAATCAATATTCAGTCCATGGAGTTACTGTGAAAGTTAAATAATCGATAACCATCGTCCACGAGAGTAGTTAATTTATAATAATGTGTAGATTTAGGAATTCACTAATCTGGAAGTTAGGTACGTACAAACAATCCAGTTGCTTTATGTTTATAACATAAATGGATGAAAACATGTAGGAATACGGAATAACAGTTGCTGGAGCTGACTTTCGAATTCGCAAGAGCATAATCGGCAATGACTTCCACCCAACACTTCCTCTTCATTTGACAAGGGTCTAGTTAAGGCATCGAGACAGCGTTGACGTGGTATTGATCTATGTCTATGCGGTTGATTAACTCAGGAAGACTCATTGTTCCCCTCATGTCCACACTCTGAATACTTGACTCAGTCTGAATAATTGTAGTATCAACATATCAATCAATTTAGAAAATTTTAAATGAAATAAAATATTTTCCCCGATATTGTGTCAACAGGACTGAAGTTATGAGATAATATTTCTTCAACTGTTCAGTGTGATTCTATTGAAGGAAGCAGTAAAGAAATATGATCCAATGCTAACGGCATTGGAAGTATCAGTAGCAAAAAGTAGCAAGTTAACTTTATCAACCGACGTTTTTCTCTTAATTTCATCCCTTTTCTTTTACTATTAGCAACTCTGATTGTCTTCATAGGTTGTAGGAGTTTCTTTCCATTGGCAGCTGGAAATTTCATGGATTCATTTCAATTTGATTCAGCAAAACAACTTTCCCTAAGACTCTCTTCGAAAATGATACGTTGCATCAAAGTCAGTTGGCGTACTTCGGCCAACTACCTATCGAGAAATGCACAGGAAAGCTAAGCTTTCACTCGTTGGTAGTTACAACGTACACGTTCGATGGAATACTTATCTTTGTCGTCTGTTTATTGTAACGGGAGCATTTTTTTGTGTTACTTCACTAGGGTCGCTCAGTTTTAAAAGTCCATAGGTTAGTTATTGATAAAATTGGCATTTTTTTATGTGCCGGTGAGTTCTATATACGTGTTGACCTGTAAATGAATTTAGAAAGTGTGGAATTTAGGGTAGATTATTAGAGAAATGCAAATTTGAACGAGCGTGGGATTTTCAGTTAGGATCCTAGCTCTCCCGTAACTCGCTAGAAGAAACGATACAGATTAATTTTTGATTAAAATGGCCGATTTAATTAATAAAGCACCATTTCAGGTCGTCAATTGATTAGGAAGGATAGGTAGGGATTAATCCGATTTTTGAAGGTAATGGGTTTGGGACCACGAGAACGTGAACAGCGTTTGAGAGGCGACGTTTACGGGAAAAATCGAGTTAGAATATGCAAATCGTTTCCGACATCCGCGACCAAAGTGAAAAGATTTTCCATTGCGAATCCAGGACGCACCCTTTTCAAAGTTGGTCAACTAGGAAGTAGTGCAGGCGTCTTACAAATAAAGCACTTAACGTTTAGTTTATATTTAATGTAGATCGAGTCCTTCAAGGCGTGTAACTTTGAACAGTAAAAGATGTGAAATATTTTGAACGATCCGATCCGGTTGTTTGTAGTTTTGTGACAGTAAAAGTAAAATTATTTTATTGCAAATAAGCTTCATGTAAGGATTCGGTTAGGATATCTGAATCTAGTTTTTCGTGTGCAATTTCTAATTTGGTAACAAAAATGTGGAAAAGCTATCTAGGAAGGTGAACATCGAAAAGCTGATATCCTCATTTCAATTCAGTGTAAATCCCCTAAATGCAATAATAAATCAAATTAGATCTTAAATCCTAATGTTTGTTCAGAGCTCCAGTGCCACGTAATTGCAATTTTTATTCTGTATGGTGTCAAATAAATAAATAATAATTATTTACCATTAGGTAATTAGTTTTTATGAACGCACCATACATAAATGACTTTAATGACCACCTGGTATATATCTACGAATAATTCAGCGCTTCGTTACTAAGAAACCTTACCTTCCAGATTTATTTATTTCTTCTAGGAGTGACAATAAGAAGTACCTGCTTTAATTTCTAGCCGCCGATAAGGAAACCAGTTGCGGTATATAATTGATCAGTTTGGTAAATTGTTCTTACAGAGCTATATAAATTATTTTTGCAGAATCCGATAGCGCCCGGCATGGGGAAGCAAGGGAAAAATAAATATTTCAGAATTTCAGCTCTGTTAATGAATTATTAACAGATTGTTAGGCGAAAACGTGCAAGTTCTCTCAGTTTAAATCATCATCGCAAACCTTTTACGGTTGCAGAAACTTCTTCTGATTAAATTGGGTCTTGTTGCATTAGAAGCGCGCTTAATTAATATAGATTTTGAGACATGTCCCAGATTTTTACATCAGAGCGCCGCACATTTAAATAAAAAAGGTTTAATTTTTATACGTTTTTAATCGAATACACTGTGTAGGCTGGAAAAATCGTCGATCCCTCCGGCCGCATTTTATAAAAGGTAAAGCCGTTGTTTAGGGGGGATCTTTTTGCCTTTGATGTTTAACCGAAACGTAAGATCTTGTTTTTTACATTTTCAGATTTTAGCAACAGAACCATGTATTTATGTGAAATAATCACAGTTAAAGAAATGAGAACCTAGTTTTCATTTTTAAAGACACAATTTTTGTTGCTAGATCCAAATGCACCTACAATTCTATTGCCCTATGTTGGCTTTTGAAAGGAATCTGCACTACTATAGTTTTAGATAATTTTCAGAATTAGTATTTTTGTCCAAGGGACAAAATACAATTTTAAAGCACACGGTGGCAACATTTAAAGTTTAAAACTTAAGATTTCCGAATTCAAAAATTTCAATTTCCACTATGATAGCTTTACGGTTCTATGTAGTTATATTATAGAAATTGTTTCGTTTAATTACTTGAAATAATCATAGTGTAAGAAATGAGGTAGGTATCAAATTTTTAGTTCACCTAATCTTTAAAAATGATAGTTTTTAAAATATTTAAACTTATCCAGAACGACAGAACCATTGTGACGTAAATAGAGCTAGCAACACAACATTTGAGTTTATAAAAAGCATGGCGTATCATGCTCATTCCTTGGAAATAAATTAACATTCTTATGGAACACTAGATGCAGGGTGTCCAACGATTGAATTGAGTGGATTATTATCTGGGAAAACTAATGTGAATAAATTTCTGTAATATTTGAGTTAGTAAATCAGTAACTTGAAATAATTCAATTTTATACGGTTTCAGGATGCCCTATTGTGACGGTAGCTCTAAATGCATTTATTTTTTCGAAATTTCGTTGTGAAGTGTAGAGCGGTTTGGGAACTGCATATCATAGAAATTCACATTTAGCGGGTTGATTTTGTTTCTCAAATAAATGATACTCTTGGTGGAAATTCAAAGAATAAATTTGTCGACCGCTCTGCAAATGTACGTTTATGTGGGTCGTTTAATTTCTATCGAACATTGTTTCTTAATGAATTTCGGAAATCTCTCCAGCCAAGATATCTGGGATGTATATCATATTTGGTCTACTTAATATTGCTAGCTCAGAGGCTATTATCTTAATCAGGAGGCGGCAAGATTTCGATAGTTGCCCTCACCTATTTCCAATGGGCGCAATTAAAAAGCACGGCCGGCATAATTATTACACGTAATATTAAAAAGGGTCAATACTTTTTTTTTGGGATTCATTCGGGTTATCGACTACCAAGGTAATTAACAGTAGCTATAATGAAGCAGTATACTTGTTGTAGTAGAACTATCATAGTTTTCACCGGGTCCTCAAATTAATGGAATCAGAAAATGCCCCCGTGAACGTCTCAAAGTGAAGACAGTTAAACTTAATAAATTGATACTTACCATTCAAATTTCAATGTATGGGTATTACAAGAAAATTAAAATAGCCGCCTTATATAAAATAAATACATACTATAGATACCTGGTGGTTCTTCCGTATCGATTACAACACCGTCGACGCTCGGCCCGAAAGCGAAAGCAAATTCGGGAGCAATCACAGGTGTAGACATTAACACTTCCAGTGGTTTCTCTCGAAGGCACTTAAGGAGGTGGGGATGTGGCAGCTCTGGAGAACAATTAGCGTGTATAGCTACCTGCGCAGCGTACCTTGAAGGTTCCTGAACCAAGGCCCAGGGGGATAGCGCCGACCCCGACATTAAAACGGCGCGATGAAAAAGCACACCTGAAAAAAAAAGGAGACGAATGATTTCTAATACACAAAAAAAAGGAACGTCGCCCGACAATGGATCGCGGAGGAAAAAGTCTTTTCTGTATTCATATTTTGTCGCATAAATCGCGCATAATATTCAAGTCGCTACCTCTAAATACATATCTATATTTAAACCAAATTGCAGAACCTCTATCGAAAGATTATAAATCAAAGCTCTGGGCGTCTTGAACCTTTGCCAACTAGCTTGTCCGGACCGAATCCTGTAATTGACTTATTGGCCGGAAGTGAAGTGACAACTGACGATCGATAAGAACGCGCGCTCTTTGAAATGACGCCTTTAAAGAGCCTGTTTAAGAGTACGGATTCTAAATTGTCTTATAATGAAGTTTTCAGAACCCTTGATAGGGATGCTCGTCAGTTAATGCACCTACTTTACTTTTATTACTTTAATTATCTTCGTTAATAGTAATTGCAAAGTGTGGCTCTGCTTCTTTCACACCCAATGCAACACCCTTAGCAAAATTGAAAACCAATTAAGACCAACTAAATTATGCGTCGGCCAGATTGTACCGACTAACTTCAAAATTAAAACCAAAAAGCTTCGAGCGCACTTTAAAAAATTTCATCCCTCGACTACTTTTTGTACTTACGAGATTAATAAAGAAAAGGTAATTAATTTTCGTTTAAGATCAGTTTGTTATTAAACTTTTGATTAGTTTCTCCTCCAAACTATTGCTTGTTTACTGGAACGTCACGGGCAATGGTAAATGATAGGATAAAATCCACCTATAATTTGATAACAAAATTCGAATTCGATTTAGATTTATCGCGCTAAAATGCGGCCAACAAATCTAAACTGTAATTTATTTTCGTATAAAAACTCGCCATAGTTTCTAAGCTCCTTTCGCGATTATTTTGCGATTGACAAAAGGTCCCTTCGTGATGAACTTTTTCCAACGAACGGTTTTAGCGCCCCCCGTAAACAGCGTACGCAAAAACTTCGTGGCTCCACGCCAAAAATAAGGTTGTGTGTTTTCGTGAAATTCGGGAAATGAGAATGAAAAGCTTCGAAATTGGATTCAATTAAAAGTGGACTCCCTTTAATTGGGTGCTTATGTGCCGCAATTTGTTTTGCGTTTACAAATAATTTCGCAGCAATCGTCGATACTGATGCTAAACCCCTAATTATAGGTAATAACGTTAGATACACTTTTTCCCCTGTATTTTCAATACACTCTTTATACAATAATCGTTATCATCCCCCATCTGTTTCCCGACGAGCTTTTGAAACGATGTTATGGAAAGTGATGTGACCATCACTCTTGACTATCGTCGAAACGTTGCAGAATATTTTAAACCCCCATAGATGATACTAGTTTATGACAGAGAACTAATTAGTGAACACCACTTGTATACAAGACTGGTGTCTGTCTGTGAACACGAGAACTAACAAAGAACAAACGCCTGGATAGATTCGGTTCAAACTTTGCACAGTTGACCTATGAATATCCCACATATAAAAAGCCCATTGAAAATGGGTCAGATCCAATGACCCCGTAGGGTCATACCGCTCTGCCGCTTTTCTAGACCCGCCTTACACGCGGATTTATTTTCGTTGTAACCTTATCCTATCCTTCTAAGGTCTTATCCGTGAAACATAACTAGAGATGTGGCATGTTTTTATTCCGCTATGGAGATTTTCGACTAATCTTAAGGTTGCCTTATCATAAACCTGCAAAGTACCACAATGTCCCCCCATCTTAAATTCTTTTGATCTATTTTCACTGTGAAAAAAATATGGCATACCTACTCAAGAAGTTTGGTATATAAACGGCATGTAGCAGAATCATGCAGAAACATTTTTGTCGCTCGGATGCACAATATGTTTTGGACGGGAGTAAAATCATTTCATGCGTAACGCCACTGGATATAGAGTACGCTTCTATATTCTGTGGCCACCACGCGTAACTCGCCTGGCTCACAATTGTTTAAAATGCAGTATTTATCTTCCAGGAAGTGGTTGCTTTAATTCGTTGCGCCAGTAGTAAAAAACAAAATACCGTACATAATTAACCAGTTTTGTAACCGTTCCCGTGAAGATATTTAAACCATGTGTGCCATACGAAAGCTCTCGTCATTTGTAAGGCGAGGGAAAATTAATGTTTTACGATTTCAGTTCCGTTTATTAATAAGTCGCCGATTGTATATGTCATTTCAAGTTAGATTACGTTAAACGGTTCTAAAAGTGTACGCATTGCAGAAAATTTATTGTACTGAAGGAAAGTTCATTGTGGAAATATTTGAATATTATTTTAACCTGCAATATACATTTATACGGCCATTTAGTGTTTTTCTTTTGCTGGGGAGTTGGAAAAGAGTTGGAAAATTGTGTAGTAACTTTCAGAGAAACAAAGTACAGTATGAAAAATTATCCAAAAAGGTAAAAAAAAATGAGTACAGAATAAGCTAGCCGACGGCAAACGATAATTGATTTTATTTCAGTACAGTTTTAGTTGAGAATTTCAAAACTCTATTAAGCGAAGTGAAGTTTTACCGCTTTATTGCAACAAAGACTGTTGCAATTGACTTATAGTCTTGCCTCTAAAATTCATAGAAAGCAGATTTTCCCTGTATCAACTGGAAAATGAAAGATTATAACCATAGCTTACTATTCGATGTAGCTTTTTGGATAAATAACTATATAGCATTTTTTTGCTATCTCACGTTTAGTGTTGGGCATGGTATTGTCTAGTGTTTGCCGTCACAGGATATGGGACCTTACACAAATTTTAGAACGTAAAGTTAAAATAATTGAAGATTATGCACTACTGTACAACTGTTACTCTGAAAGGCATCTCTTCAGGTTAAAGATTCTTACACACTTTGCCATTATTTTGCAACCAACATTTTCTTGAAGTTGATATTAAAACGGTCTTTAGATTTCTGGCGTGAACAGCAAGAACTGCGAACAAGTTTCTTGACGTCATAATATGAATGGAACATACCAAACTGCTGCTAGCGTAAGATTTGTACCAGTACTTGATGTTTCCTGAAGGGATCTGCACATATTTAAACCACTGATTGTGTGACTAGGTGTTAAATTGAACTTTCAAGGCATTCCGACCTTTAGGTTGTTTTGATCTATGAATTTTTGGAAGGTATACATACGGATATACTTTCTACAAAAGCAGATTTTCTTCTTGTATGGTGCACTAAACTGTTGAACTACGTTAAACTTGTGTTGAATAAGATATCAATGCAGGTGGACAATCACTTACCCTCTGGAACTGCGCTTGAAGTTAGAAGAAAATTTACGCATGCCGCTCCCGTTCCATGTCCAATAACGGTAACGTTACTGGGGTCACCGCCGAACACGGCGATATTCTCTTGTAGCCAATGTAGCGCTGCTATTTGATCCATTAAACCATAGTTTGCCGGGGATCGGGAATACGGATCGGTATTTGCATTTAAAAAACCTGAAACAATACGATAATATATTTTTAAAAGTTGTATATATAGATCTTGGCAAAGATATTTCAGCCTTCAGTTGACACCGTCCTTTCAAATGGGATGCCTAACACTTTATTCAATCTTTACTATTCACGTTTTTGAAAATTTTTTGACACTATACTGATTCACAATAATATAACCTTATTTAATAAGTAAGAACACGTCAAAAAAATTGTGTTCAGAAACTCATATCAAATTTTTCAGTGCTGAAAATGGAACCTCCCTTTTTCTGTTCACCAATAGATTTTACACTGAAAAGTTGGTAGTTGGTAATTACATGCTGTATCTAAAATGAATGCTGTGTTGTAGCATTTTAAATTACCGAGTACTGTTTTTTACGACTATTGTTTTATCATTTTGCGCGCTCTGATTGCTTTTTGTAGTTAGGTACGTCATCCATAGAGCCCAGGAAGCAAACTATAGTTTGATCTAACGTTGGGCTCCTTTTCAATAGCTCACATGAATTGGAGAGTGTCTGATGAGCCACAGGCACATTCTTTTCCAACTAAACCTCGCATCCCACTGCGGGCCCTGTAGGTTTCGGAATCCCCGATCCACTGACTGAGACTGCTGTATGGCGGAACTGTCAGAGCTGTTGTATGGGCCACCTTTGTTCTGTCGGAAAGCAGGGCAGGTGGAAGAGGCGGCTGCATTAGTAACCGACCGACGGACAGCTGTAAATTGCGCACCGTTCGAGGAACGAAGAGAACACCTTGGTGAAATATGTGATGAAGTTCTCCATTTTTCTGGTTTGGTTGAGATTTTTTGAAGTATTTGAACTTCAAATACTTCAAAAAAACCTTGGTGAAACTCAGATCTTGAAAAGGTTCGTAAAAACGTACGCAGGCTCTTTAATAGAATTAGCATATCTCCAATCGGAGCGTATACACAGTGAAGCAGCTCATGTTGCTGGCTTCTTATCAAGTGGAGAGGTGATGCAGTAGCTATGGCCTTTCCATTAATCCGGAAAAGATCGAGGTTGTTGAAAGAGCACATTAAGCAAACAAGCGAACCGGACGGATCTGGGAGGAAACCCTCAGATCCGATTCCTTCCTCGTAAGAAGGGATGTTATCCGGATTGTCTTACTAAGACCGAAGATTTATAAGGTCACTCAGGGAACTGTGGTTGAAGTCGGATTGCCCGTTCCTCAAGCTTGAGGGGCAGCCCCAACTAATCCTATTGGTATAGGAATTGTGACAACGCTGTGTAATTTACGCTCATAAGAATAACTGAACTTTAAGTGCGAATCGCATTATAGACCTTGAAATTTGAGTTGTTGCCATAACATTTCACATTTATTATTTTCACATCAGTAATTTGATTTTACACTGTGCGCTATGCAAAGTCAGCTCGGATTGTGTGTCGTTATTATTCTAGTAAAATGCTTCCGCATAATCTCAAGAGCTGTATCCAAATACAGCAACAATTCTATAAATAAGCTCGGATTTTCTTTCAGGAGCCTCCACAAGTAAAATGTGATGTACAACCGCCATCCCATTAGGGTTTGTCTAAGAAACAGAGTGGATTTTCACTCTGGCAAAGTAAATTGACCTGCTGAAATAGAATACTGAAAGCCTTCATTTGTTCGAACGTTTTCTCTTAAGATTCTAAATGTTCCAAAAATAAATCAGTCGTTCATTACCACAATCGTAACAGGGCCAGAAATGAGATGCAGAAGTGTATAAAAATACATATTGTAGTAAAGGGATGGGTGGTTCATAAAATATAATTGAAAGCTCGTAAGGCGTATATCTTGACGGTCGAACGCGTATGGGGCGTCTATGCCGTCGAAGCGATAATGATGCCACAAATGGTTGTGTCGATAACAGTCCTCCCTCCTAGCACCAACTGAGCCACCGAATTGTTTAGTGGGTGACGACAAGAACAAATGGCCGCTTCGTTTTAACAAATCGAGCGCTTATATTTAGAAAAGTGAGCCTAAATTCACACAGCTTAATTTAGAGTGAAATTAATAGGCGCACTCCCTTAATAAAACTGAAACCGGAATAAAAACCGCTTTTTAAGCTAATCCCTATCATTCATGACAAATCCCTTGTAGATCTGCACGTACATAACGACACGCGTAACACGGTCGTTACACCGTCAGCTGACGAACGACCCTATTTCATCCCTCTACGCACATCTCCCCCGCCATCGAGCCCCAGGTGTGCACAAATCCGAACATTTACCTTTAAAGCTAGAATCCGCATATTTCACTTCCAAAAAATAGTTTCCAGATGAAATTCCACACTCGGAGAGCCCCGAGTGTGAGCTCTGAAAGATAGCTGAAATACGAGCAGTGGAGGGCTTCTTTCGATTTCGTATTTCGTTCACACAAAACCGCAATAGAAAATAATTTAATTAAACTAAACGGAAGGAACGGCGCTGTACATATGCGTGTTGAAATACACATGCGGATAGTCCTAGAACCTTTTCTGGAATTTAATTTGGAAAGTTTTTCACCAGTCAGGATCTTCGAATTAAGTTTTGGGGTAAATTGAACTAAAGAAACTATTCTCAAACTTATTTAAAGGATTTCAGTCTAACTTCAACCTAACACACTTCTAATCTACCTTTTATATTATTTACCGCAACCGTTAACAGTAGAATGTGAACAACATGTGCATATTTTCTAGTATATTTTGGGTACCTAACGAAATCCTGAATACTCACAGCCATTGGTAATTGCACTACAGACATGCACTGCGAAGGTATTTAGACGTCAGGGATAATTGGCATACCTTGAATCATCATGATCCCAGCAATTCCACCGTCCAACGTGACAACATCAACCAAAGCATATATAAAGATAACTCGCTGCGTTAACCTCAGCCGGGTAATTACAATCATTCAACAGGAGTAGGAGAATTTACGTGACTTCCATGCAAATTCGAAAGGATCGCGTCACTAGCGCCCCCCTTCCGAAAACGCGGGAGGACAGAAAATAAATCGTCTCATATTTTTCCTTTCAAAAATTAAAAGTAATCCATAAATAGATAAGTTTTATGACAGGCCAGTTTCCTCTTTTGCAAACTTCCTTTAACCTCGATGTGACCCCTTTACGGAGCGGAATCCCTAAGCGCCGGAAGTAATCGTTTTCCGCAATGTTTCCTGGTTGCGATTAATAAATTAAACCGCACGACAATAATATCAAACGCCGCCAACTTTCCACAAAGGCAATTTTTCGATGACCTCAAACTCCTCGCGCCGAAAATTTTTTTGTTCATTCATAGGATAATATTTTAATTGTTGTAAGTAACGGAGAGAAGACCGTATTGAGTATTAATTCTGAATGGAGACTAATTGTAATTAACGGGAATTATGTTAGAGATTTGTCGGGATTATTAACGTTCTCTTCCTAGTCCTAATTTTATCCCGAAAATGGTTTAAATGTATTTGTGGCAAAATGATCAATCGTCACAGCCTCTTTAAGTGCATTTTTGTTTGAGGATTGTCAGTTTTTCATTATTTCAATTAAAATAAATCCCTAAATATTGAATTAGCCAACCTGGGCTGTGATTGAAACCAAATGTGAACTATAGAAGTGAAATAGATTGAACCCATTCATTTGGAGAATTATTTTTATTGCAAATTCAATTCATAATATGATTAAATCTAAAAATGAGTGTCGTCCATTCACAAAATGGGGGCGAATTTTATGATTAAATCTATTTAAAACATTTGAGTCGAATGAGGAGGTTATCGCCGTCACGAAGACCGACTTTTCAGATTCCGAGAAAACGTATTTTTCAGACGCGTTAAAGAAGCATCGCTGGATCAAGTGTATCGACCTAAAAGGAGACTATGTTGAAGAATAAATCGCCACTTTTCCAAAATCTTCGGTTTTATAGGCTTTTTGTAGGCTAAGTTATCGAACCGCCCTCGTATTTCGGGAATTAACATTGGATCTATACCGACGCCGGGCTCTATTCCTGCTGAATTCTCTGTGAATCGGCGCCTTCTGGACGTAATTTTGGCGGACCTTAAACTTTTGACTTTACAGATTGCAGGAAAACAAGATTTTCTTTATCACGGCAGTTTGTTGTTAAAGATTTCTTTAAATCATTCTGGAAAATTGGTTCTGGACTTTATTATACTTAGCAGTTCCCACTTGAAACTTCTATTACTTGGTTTTACGACGCCCGAAAAAATACCATCTTTCGCCCTCGTAATCTGGGAACGAACTTTCTCGTGACAATCCATGTGGCTACTATTTTTTAGTCAAAAGCCGAATCTCTAGAAGAAAAAACAATATATATTTTTGAGCAGTATCGTTAACTCTCCCAAATCCCAAAATCGAATGATTCAAAAAATCTCCCTACCTATCCTTTGGATTAGTTAACGCTCTTTTCCAATCTTATCGTCGGTGACTAATCTTTAAGGTGCCTCCATGTTTATCCGGATTTCTAAATTATTCACTGCAATATTCCTATACACCTAAATAAAATTGGATATTCTTAGAATATTCTTTTAACATGCCATGAATATACTGAGAACATTATTAATATATTCCTTGATTTTTCAGTATGAATACAATGTTCATACCGAAAAATTACAAACATAAAATTCCCTGGATGTACGGGGAATATTCGTTTTGTCACAATTACGTGTCAATATCAAACCTTAATTACAATACGGAATGTCTCTTTTAGGTAACTAGTTCAACACTTATTTTGAATGGAAAATAATTTTTTATCATAGGTTGTTAATTAGGTATGCATTTGTAATGTAAAAAGGGAAGTTTCATGCAGTTGACAGATCTCATCTGCTAAACATCGGTGTGTATCACCTACACCTACAGGATAAAAAATTGGGAATATATGATGTTTCGTTCTTATAACAACGTAACCCCTAAAACGCCTTATAACGAGCGATCAAAAATGAGTTGCTGTCGAGTCGCCTTTGGAAGTTCAAGTTAAATACGATTTTCCATGTAAACAACAATTTCAAAGGCGACTCGACAGC